AGAATTAGATTGGCCATATGATGTATCATCTGTTTGATGCCTACTTTTATACACATGTATTATTGTATCTGGTGCTCCATTTCAACTTAAGATTCAGCTTGCCACCACTTTGAAAAAGTAAGAACTGATTTCGTGTTTCCTGTGGTGGAACATAACAGGAGATATTTTTCTGCTACTTGCCTGAGTTATATTACTGTACTGCTATCACGCGCTTCCATGTCCCATGTTTATGTCTTCCCAACCACAATTGTGCTGAATTCAGCAAGACTGTTCTTAATATCATTAAGGTATCATTATAAATTCCTTATACTTCCAGTGTTTAAACCTTTTGCTTAAATTTCAGAATGGCTTTTCTCAAGTAGGTTTAGTAAATGATTAGGGGCCACCTGATTTTTTGCAACATGGATCACATTGGGTAATCTGACAAATAATTTTGATGCAGAGTTGTTGAGCATGATATATGTATATTAAACTTCAAAAATAGTTTTGTTGAATATTTCATATCTTGTTAATTTTAAGTATAGGATTTGTTTTCATTCATTAAGGGGAGAGTAACTGGGCAGAATATTTGAATTGACTTAATATTTGCACATGAATACTAGCGGCTCCTCCAATTTGATCTTTGCAGTCATATCATTTATAGCTCTTAGTTATCTTGAGATTGATCAGTTCCCTCTAAATCTTTCCTACTTATTTCATTACAGTCTTTTGTGCTTTTGAATTTCTGTTTGATTTCTCAAGTTCATAATGCTGTTCCATCCTTCATTTTTTTTTGCTCTTCTTTCTGTGAATAGTAACTGCTATCTTGATATAGTTTATAAAGCCAACTAGACACTTTTTGCTACTTCCATTGCTTACAGGATATGGTTTTAATGTTTAGGTGGCAGTGTTGACAAGATCTGAGAACACCAGCCACTTCCTGGAGACTTACAGGTTTAAGGTTCTTCCAGATAATATTTTAAAAAGGGCTGCTAGTTGATAATCTGATACAATAGCAGTGGGAAAAGAGTTGTATTTTGCCATTCTTATTGCTAGAATGTGTTATAAATGGTTTATTTACATATTCATTTGGATTTATTCTTTGTCTTTCTCCAGCAGTGTTCTAGATGTCATTTGTGCTGCTATATTTCGTAGTGTTCTCCAGAGAAACAAGGATCAGGGTTCTGAAAGGGGCCATTTCTGGGCACTTTTATCCAAGATTTTTGTTCCAGGAGATAGAAATAGCAGTAGCACTTAGACCAGTGTTTCTCAACCTTGGCCACTTGAAGATGTGCGGACTTCAACTCCCAGAATTGCCCAGCCAGCATTGCTGGCTGGGGAATTCTGGGAGTTGAAGTCTGCACATCTTAAGGTGGCCGAGGTTGAGAAACACTGACGTAGACTTATATACCACACCACAGCGCTTTATAGCACTTTCTTAGCAGTTTACAGAGTCAGCATATTCCCCCCAACAATCTGTGTCTTCATCTTACCGACCTCAAAAAGATGGAAGGTTGAGTCAACCTTGTGTCGGTCAGGATCAAACTCCTGGCTTTGGGCAGAGTTAGATTGCAATAGAGGTAATGACAGTCTCTATTATACTGATCACTAGAGCGTCAGGACACCCCCCCCCCCGAGCTCCCTCTGAAAAATTTTAGATCTCCCAGGTACCTGGAATGGATTGATCAAATGAGCTTATTTTTCCTGGATCACTAAAAAGCTCTAAAAAAGCCAGAGTGATCTGACCAATGGCAAGGGATAGGTGTTAATGTCTTCCAATTTCATACCATATTGCAGCTATTCTGAGACAAAAAGCAGATGTAAGGTGTTATAACCTATGTGTTTTGGCCCCTCAGTATCAACCCCACGAGATAGACCAGAGAGCAAAAAAAAAAACTGCACAGGAAGTTTAGTATTGTGCTTTATCGAGTTAGGCTACAGAACAGAATCTCGCAAATCTGGCTATGCTTTAACTTCCTCTCCTTTTATTCCAGTGAATTACACAGTTTGCTTGAGCCGCTTCTGAATATTATCTTTCTTCCTAGGAGTTAAAGAATATTTCAATCCTTGTTACCTAGATAAACATTCTTGCATATTTCTGGTAAGGGAAGGCCATCAGCTCCCAAGCCACTTTGAATCCCTCAGAAAGAGAAGGCAGATTGAATTGTCTCAAAACTCAGATGCTCAGAGTCGCTAAATGGTGAGATGGGCAGCATATAAATATAATAAATAAAATGAATAAAAAATAAAACGTATCAATTTGAGAAGCTTGCTCACCAACCAAGCAATAAAGTCAAAAAGCTGGTGCAGGAAAGCCAGTGTGTGTGAGGGAGGATAACCATGTTTGTGAATCAGAGGGTCTGGGGAAAAAACACTTCTGCAACCTTAATATGTCTGAGAATTCCTGGTGAGAATATGAATTACCAATACAGAGCTTATTTTTAACTTTAGAAACTTGTAAAGGAAGATCATTCCATTTGTATCTTATTATAATTTCTGTAGCGATATATAATCCATTGCTGACTTGCTGGGGCTGTCACAACTTCTTCATCACCACAGTTCAGATAACAATGGTTGAGGCTGCCAGAAGAGCAAAAACCAGAATTTTGTATCTCCCTTGACATCCAAAGTGTGGTGGTGGTGGTGGTGGTGGTGGTGGTGATGGTGGTGGTGGTGGTGATGGTGGTGGTGGTGGTAGTCGTGGAGGAGGAGGAGGAGGAGAGGAAGATTAAACATGTTTGTCAAAGCAAGGTTCTTGTTAACGATCAGAAGTATTGAAGCTTAAATTCATTACTTAAGTGGATAATGAAACTAAATGAAATGGTATATAAAAAGAAAAACAAATGGAAGAATTCAGTACTATTAAGAAATCCTTGGCCTGCATTGATTCTGCGGGAAATTATATTTGACAAAATTCCCACTTTTATGGCATTCAAAATGTTTTTTGTTTTTGTTTTTTTGCGCTGCATGAGTTGTTAGCTTGAAAGGAAAATGCTTTAAAACGTATATGAATGGTGAGAACTGGCTCTCTTAAGTAAGGGTCCTCAGCATGCAAATCTAGATATGCTTTGTTTGGAATCTATATCAGTGTGCATTTAATATTCAGACTATAGTTAGAGGAAAAGAAATGTCTACTTAAGCTGTTTTGTTGATTTTGTAAATCTGGACTCATTTAAACGGGATCTGTTTTATGTTTAGTTAGTCTGATGATTAAGCTTTTCCCCTTTAAGGTTATATGGTGTTTTTTTTTCTGATTCATCAGAATGTTTGGGTAATGTTGTATAATTCTCCTTGAGCTATTGTTTGAAGCTGAAACATTTGGATTTTTTTTTAAACATGGCAAGGTCAATTAAATAAAAACTAGAGCTCCATTCTCTCACTCCAAGTTCTCTTTGAATTTTTATTCATATGTCCCCTGTTGCTCTTTTAACTCACTTTGGTTAATGCTTCAGTATGAAATATTTCCATGTAGGCAATCATTACATGTGAATGTTGCTTACATGAAATTGTGGAGAGTACGAACAATTGCAGATGATTCTCTAATGGTTTTTAGATGGCAATGTAATTCAAAAATCAGCTCTTAAATACAAATAGGCTGTGTAACTAGCTTAAACACTGAATATTTTATTTTGGCCAAATCTGTCAATGTAGCAAAGTGACAAGAATTGTTTTGAAGTGTTTGTGTTAATTTTTTCTTGAATAGCCATTAGTAGCTATAATACCCACTATGTTATATTATATCTACATCTTGATTCCTGCACTTTGTGGTGTCCAGTTGATTGTGTTCTTAAGTCTCTAGAATGAGCTGAAATATAAATGTGTATAATTTGGGGGGGGGGGGAAGTTACCAGCAGTTACAGGAAAATATATAAAATGTCAGACTCTTTATTTTCATTTGTTTTACTAGACTATATTATACAAGATCATTTATTTTCTATTGCTTCTATGGTTAATAAAACAGAAACAACTATGCAGCTATCCTGATTCAAAGGGTAAAAAGTGATTCAGAGCAAACATTTCAAACTTAAATATTCTAGATCAGAGGTCCCCAACTTAGGGCTGCTGGGCCGTGTGAGTAGCTGGGCAGTGCATGTGTGTGTGCGTGTGCTCACCTCCCTCGTGCCACTGTTGCCACAAATTTGTGTGGGCAGTGGCAACGCCGCTAGTATTACATGGACAGCGGCAGCAGGTGGGCCACAGCATGAGCCTTGTGCAGTGGCGGTGGCGCGATCCTTGTGCCGGGGGTGGCAGCACTGTGGACCATAGCATGATCATCGCGCTGGTGGTAGCATCGCTGTGCGCCTGGAAGCAGCGGTGCCACAAACCTCACACAGGCACCGCCATCGCTGAGAGCCTCGCGCACATGCTTGCAGCCCCATTTGCATGGTGCGCATGCTCCCAGCCTGTTTGTATGTGCGCATGCACATGTGGCCACATTCACATTTGCGCATGCGCACGTAAGGCACCGGCCCCTCCCTCCCCCACTGGGCCCCCAAAACAAAAAGGTTGGAGACCCCTGTTCTAGATGAATCCAGATAAAAGATGCACCATTTTTAGTTATCGACTAGTGACAGATTAGTTCTGAATCACCTTTTCCCCTTCAAACCTGGATTACTGAACAGTCATTTTAAAGAGATTCGCCTCCTGTTAGAACCTTACCGTGTGCTATGTTCCATCTTTTAATTAATAAAGAACAGTGGCAGTGGGAGAAGACTTCTGCCTTTCTTATTTTGAGTACGAAACCATCCCTAAAACTTGGCAGACAAGAGGCAAACATAGGAAATTAAGCTATAATGGTAAAAGAATTGCCTAGTTTATATTGGACAAGCCATTGTGCGTAGGAGCTTAACTATTGGATGTACTGTACAATTTAGAACAAATGTGGAATCTTGCCTCTTCAGACTCCTTGACACGGGTTCAATCCATCAGATGCAATAAGGACAATTGTTACAGCAAAATATAGTAGAGTTTATTACATTGCTTTTGACCAAAGTCTGTGGCATCTCTTTTTTGTTTTGCAGGCTGTTGGTGCCTAATCATTCATTAGTCTAACTGAGGAGTGATAATTTTCTCTTTGAGAAACTGCTCCTTCCACCACATGCAGCTCTCCCTATGCCCCAAGTGTGTGACTGGCGCCCTACGCAATGTGTGTTTGTCAAACCATGGAGGTGGGGAAGCATGGCAAGAACGCAACCCACACAGGAAGCCGAGGGGTCCTGTTGGAGCCTTTCATCCATCAGGTGGGCGGCCACAGCAGCATGATGCGCTACGATGACCACACTGTGTGCAAACCTCTCATAACCCGAGAACAACGCTTTTATGAATCTTTGCCTCCAGAAATGAAGGAATTCACACCTGAGTATAAAGGTAAGCATCCCAAAACCTTAAAAAACACCTGAGGTTGAAAACAACAGAATTTGTATTTGGTTTATTTAAAAGAATTACTAGTTCTCCAGTACAGGAGATGGATAATCCATGGATGGGTTTTCTCTGTCTGCCTGCTCTTGAGACCAAGTAGCCAAAGCTTGACACGCCCCCACTTCCTGTGGAGTCCATTCTTAACTTGGTCTCTGCTCGGAGAAGACTCGTTTTGGCGTGGCTCTCAGCTTATCAGGTTAGACAAGAAATCCATTGATTGATTATCCCTTGATAATTGGCTTCCCCTTCCCAAAAAAATATTTTCCACCTATAGGAATTTAACCACAAAATTTTCTGGGGATCAGTCCTGATCTCAAACCTAAAATTAAAAAGGGGATTGGTGGGGAGGGAAATTTCCCCACAGATATCAGCCAGCCCCAGGGCTCTGGGGGGTGAAAAGGGGGGGAAGAAGGCATCAGCAGAGACTACTTGCTGAACCTTTTCCCCAACCACTAAGTTTTCCTTGGGATCATCCCTGATCCTATATTAAAATTGAAAAAGGGGGTGTGGGGGGGGGAAAACTCCCCACGGATCCCAGTCAGCCCCAGGGCTCTGGAGGTGGAAAAGGGGGGGAAAAAAGGCATCAGCAGAGACCACTTGCTGAGCTTTTCTCCCCAACCTTCCAAGGGATTTTTTCCTCAAATTGGGGGAAAAAATAACAATCTCCAGGTCCGGATTCAAACTTGAATTCGGATCATCGGAGATTCCCTAGCAGCCCAGGGCAACCGCGGGCGCCATTTTAGTTGCCGTTTTCAGACAACAAAGGCAATCCCTGGCTGGGATTACCTTAAAACGTCACAGCGCGCCAAATTTAAATCCCCGGGCACAAGCAGCTTCTGGGAGGCTGCGGAGCTTATCTTCAGAGGGAAACGAAGCACAGGAAGGGAGTAAGCCAACCAAGAAACGGAGGCTAGAGAACCCTCCTGGGATCTGCAAAGCCCTTTTTCAGGGAGAAACGAGCTGTGGCTGCCATCTCTTGCCAGAGAAAGGCAAACCAAGCTTAAGGAAGCTCTACATCATATCTGGAATCACTGATAGAGGCGGAATAGGAGCACACAACCAGCGCTCCACCCCCGATACACACATATAATAATAGGACAAAATATAATAATAATAAAAATAGATACATAAATTTTAAAATAATAATAATAATAATTAAAAAAAAATTTTTTTTAAAGCTAAAAATTAAGCGACTGCAGGGCCAACAGGCCTAAAGACAGAACACACAATATTATCATCATCACCATTATTGTTGTTGTTGTTATTATTATTATTATTTTACTATTATTGTTGTTCCTATTATTAGTATAATAGTAATAGTATTAATAAGAATAAATTCCGCTCTAGGTGACCGCCATTTGATACCTGCTGTGTATTAAGTCAGGCCTACAGACCCTTTTGAGGTCGCCACTGATATTTTTTGCCTCCCTTTTCCTTTTTCTACTGGTGCACGTTGCCTGGTCACCTAAGGCCTCCGGGCGGAACCCAAAGAGTGGTTCCAAACGTGCCTTCGGTACCTCCCTCAGCTACCGTGACCTTAGCCCAGAGAGAATATTTTTGTTGTGGTCGGGTGATCAGGGGAACAGTCCTGGTACTTGTTCCAATTTCGCTCCCGCCAATACTTGCCTGCCTGAGCGTCTTCTCAGTTTTTCTGGGACTGCTCAAGCGGAATGGAGGGACCCTCGTTGCCTCAATCCATGAGCACGACCCCTCCACCTCCCAATTACGGCTGCAACACACCTTCTGACCAGAAGGCGGCAGGCAAGTGCAAAGCGAAGACAAAACACTCGCTCAAGAGGCCCTCCAAGTTGGCGGAAAAGCAAGCCAGCCGTAGGCACCAGGCCCTGGAGAAGGAGTTCTCCAGAGCGCAGAGGCAGGCCCAATTGGAATTGGTTCAAATGGCGGCCACCGAGATGGAATTACCATTGGGTCCATCCACATCAACCCAGAGCGCGTGGTCCATTCCAGGAACACCGCAACCACTGGATCCGCCATCTACATCAGCCCAACAAACAACCACGGCGGCAGGCACAACCACTGAGTCCAACTCTCCACCTGCGGTCACCACACCCAAAGGTAATGACATAGGGGACATCTGGGCAGATGGACGGCTAGAGGCCCTATTAACCAAAGTGGTGGACCGAGCCCTAGCACAGCGCTCCGCCCACCACGACCAGGGGCCCTCCATCTCAGCCATGCCACACTCGGAACTCCCCTCAGAGTCCTCAGGCATTCAGGAACCCGTCTCCCCGGCCCAGTCCTCCATGAGTGGTTATTCTTCACCACAAGAGGAGGATCAACCTGGGATCTCTATGTCAGAGGATGAGGAACTTCCCCCTGAGCCCCCCTCAGGGGGATTATTTAATCCCAACCGCTTCCTCACGATACTACGCAAGGCCACAGCCATTGCGGACATGGGGACGGATCAGTTTTCTCAGCCGCAAGCGACACCGGCCACCACATCCAGACCCGTATTCGTAGAAAAGGTGACAACGCAACACCATATACCTTGCCCCGCCATTTTCCTGAAAGGGATCAAGAAGCCATGGGACTCTCCCGCTTCCTTCCCATCAGTGAGTGGTACGGACAAAAAATTATACAGCACTGCCACAGACCTCAATGAGGCCTTAGAAATTCCTAAAGTAGATGAAGCCTGGACCCCCTTGGTCTCCCAGACAGCCATGGCTGGGGACCTAGTGGAGGCCCTTAAGGCAGATGACAAAAAGTGGGAACAAGCCTTTCGCAAAACCCACCAGACAGCGGCATGGGCCATCAAAGCAGCCACCTCGGCCTCCTTTTTTGTCCGGGCCACCCTCATCTGGTTGCAACAACTACAAACCATAGTTCCTATGGAGGACATACGAACACACCAGGACCTGGCTAAGATGGTAGCAGCCACGGAATACGCTGCAGACGCAACGTTCCAATCGGCCATTTTTTCATCCAGATCCATAGCATCCAACATAATTGCCAGGAGAATGCTATGGCTAAAACACTGGCAAGCTGACACCAAGGCTAAGTGGCGGCTAGCGACCGCCCCTTACTCAAGCAACGGTCTGTTTGGGGAGGCCTTGGACCCCTATCTTGTAGAGAACAAAGACAAGCGGAAGGTCATGGCACACTTGAACAAAAGGTCAGACAAACGTACCACACCTTACTTTCGTAGGCAGTCCTTTCGTCAACCGACAACCACGCCTATCAGTCAGGCACCCAAGCCATTCACTCCCAGGCAGAACAAACCGTACGGCCGCCCCTACGACAGACCGGGGTTCCAGCCCAGACAACAAAACCAGTCGAGACGACCCTTTCGTGGAACGGGTCGTCCGTACCGGAAGACAAAATGACTCCTACATAGACCTACCCATTGGAGGAAGACTAGCTCACTTCTTCCACCAGTGGGAGCAGACCTCCACGGACAACTGGGTACTACAAACCATCCAGTCCGGGCTGTCCCTGGAGTTCCTGGTCACACCCCCAGACCGACTCATCAACTGCTCGGTCTCCAGGAACCCCACCAAACGCAAACTCATGCAGGAGGCCATCCAACACCTGTTGGACATTCAAGCAATAGAACCGGTCCCAGCGGAATACAGAGGCAGAGGATTTTACTCCATCCTCTTTGTGGTTCCAAAGACTTCAGGAGGATGGAGGGCAATCCTGGACCTAAAAAACCTCAACCGCTACATCACATACAAAAAATTCAAGATGCAATCCCTTCAGTCCATCCTGGGAAGCATCAGAGAAGGAGACTTCCTGGCATCGATAGACCTCACGGAAGCCTACCTTCACATCCCCATCCACCCAAACCACCGCCGGTTCCTACGTTTCTGTTACGGGGGAAAACACTTCCAATACAGAGCTCTCCCCTTCGGTCTATCTTCGGCACCCAGGGTATTTACCAAGATACTAGCAGCGGTAGCCGCCAAACTGAGAAAAATCCCAATACGCGTCCAATGTTACCTAGACGACATACTAATCCAAGCAACATCCCTACAGACAGCTCAGGCGGACGTAAGGACCGTCATTCGCGTCCTCCAATTACACGGATTCTCAGTAAACTTTCAGAAGAGCCAGACAGTTCCCTCGTCCAGGCTGCTGCATCTGGGGGCCATGATAGACACAACCAACTGTATGGTCTATCTCTCCCAAGACCGGGTGGCCGGCATCAGGGAACTGGCTCGCTGGGTTCACAGGCAACGTTCAGTTCCGATACTAACACTTTCCCAATTATTGGGCAAGATGGTATCGGCCATAGCCATTGTACCCTGGGCCAGGCTCCACCTACGGGAACTACAGTGGTTTCTGCTCCCGTACCAACGGCAGAACACCAGCGCATCCAACCACCTAGTCAGGGTCACGGCACAAATCCGCAGGGCGCTACGCTGGTGGTGCTCTCGGGCCGTGACCAAGGGGTCACCCTTCAAGGAACCAGTCAGAGTTACCATCACTACAGACGCCAGTCTGTATGGTTGGGGAGCCCATCTGGACTCCCGGTTTGTACAGGGACGTTGGTCCGCCACGGATCTGAGAAACAACATCAACTGGCTAGAACTCAGGGCTATCCACCTAGCCTTGCAACAATTCAAAGACAGAATCAGAGGCCACCACGTTCTAGTCCTAACAGACAACGTAGCAGCCAAGGCGCACATCAATCGGCAGGGGGGGACCAGATCAAAAACCCTGATGACAGAGTCACGACTCCTATTCAGCTGGGTAGAGCCCAATCTGAAGTCACTAAAAGCGGAACACATATCGGGGGTCAACAACCAGCAAGCGGACTTCCTAAGCCGCACCACAGTGGACCCTTCGGAGTGGGGGCTACACCCGAACTTGTTCCTAGACATCTCCCGCAAGTTCGGGTACCCGATCCTCGATCTGTTCGCATCATCAGACAATGCCCAGCTCCCCAGATTTTACTCTCGTTACTTCAACCCGCGAGCAGAGGGGAC